AGTGAGAACTTAACAAGACTTGAACTTGGGGAAGTAATGCAGATAATGCAAAACTTTATATAACAGACATTATAATTTGAGTATTGCTTTTGTAACATTTGAAACAAGGGAAGCCTCTCTGGTTGCACAGGGGTTAGAATCTCAGCATTATCAAGCTATCACCAGCCACTGTGCATGGCATGAGTTCGATCCCTGGCAAGGGAGCCAACCCACGGGGCACAACAGACCTCTCCTGTCACACACTCTGCCCTCTGCTCTCCTCAGCAGCGGATCTGCTGTTCTGCTCCCCACTCTGTCTCTGCTATATCCTTTTACACCCTGCACCTCTGACCTACATCCCAGTTCTTGTATGCATAAATAAATAAAAATAAATTTAAAATAATTGAAACAAGACCAAATGTAATCTTTACATTCTACAAATATCACTTGGTAGATTGTTCAGAGAATGACTTATAAAGTAATGCATAAGAGAAAGAAAGACTAGAGGCAAAAATGTGGGCATTGCCCAATTAGTAATCAGATATCTTTAAGTATATGATAAGAGACATATCCACATCCTACAAAATAGTCATACAACTCAAGAAATCAAAACAAAAAGTCCAATGAAGAAATGGGTATGGGCAGAAGATCTAAATGAACACTTCTCAAAGAAAACAGTCAATAAACACATGAAAAAAACTCATAATCACTTATCACTAAGGAAATGCAAATCAAAACCAGAACAGATTATTTTCACACCTGTGAGAATGCCCCATATGTAAAAGACCAAAAAACCTATTTAGAAAGATGTAATGAGTAAGGGATTCTTGTAAACTTTTGGTGGAAATATAGATTGATCTAGTGTAAAACAAAAGGAGGTTTCTCAAAATATTAAAAAATAAATAAACCTCAGAGCCCATAAATTCTACTCCTTGGTGTTTATCTAAATAATTCAAAAACACAAATTTGATGGAATATATGCTCTCCTATATTCATTATAATACTATTTACAGTAGCTAAGTTGTGAAAACAATAGAAGTGCCCAGAGGCAGATCAGTTATGTGTGTGTGTGTTTGTGTGTGTGTGTATGTGTGTGTGTGTGTGTGTGTGTGTGTGTGAGAGAGAGAGATAGAAAGAGAGAGAGAGAAAGATATATGAATGGGCTATACAATGGAATACTATTCAGTTATTAATGTAATGAATTCTGGCCATTTGAGACTGTATGAAACTAGAGGCTACGTGAAATAAACCAGAAAGAAAAATAAATACTGGATGGTTTCACTCATATACGTAATGTATAGAAATAAAAACAAACAAACAAAAAACCCAAAAAAATAGTCAGACAAAAACAAACAAAAACCAAAACCTAAAAATTTAATTGTGGACCTCCCTGGTGGCTCAGGGATTAGGGCCAGTGCTATCACTGCCACAGCCTGCGTTCAATCCCTGGCCAGGGAGCTGACCCAAATGGTGCAGCAGACCTCTCCTTGCCTCACCCTTTGCTCCCTTCAGCAGTGTATTTCAGTAGATCTGCCTGTTCTGCTCCCCACTCTGTTGCTGGTGAATCCTCTCACCCCCAGCACCTGGGCCTACACCCTAGTTCTTATATGCATAAATAAAAATAAATATTTTTAAAAAAGAAATTTAATTATAAAACAGACTACAAGGGGGGGCCTCTCCGGTTGTGCAGCAGTTGAACGTTGAGTTGTGAAGCTGCCCACAGCCTCTGCAGCACTGGTTTGATCCAAGGTCACCGGGTGAGGGTCCCACATGGGGCGCAGATCTCTCCTGCCGCCCGCTGCTCCCCTCAGCAGTGTACTTCGTCAGTCTGCCTGCTGTGCTCTCCGCTCTGACTGGCGAATTATCTCACCCTGCTGCGCTTCTGACTGTACCCAGTGCTTGTATAAATAAATAAATAAATCTTTAATTAAAAAAAACAGATTATAAGTGGGACAGTGGGGATGTGGTTCACAAAGTTGGGACAGGGTCAATGACTGGAGTAATGATTATGAATGCCTTGGTGGTAGGTGTGATATTAAAACATAACTCTGAATAGGGGTGATCCTCAACTATATATGAAATATAGATTGTAAGCCAAAATTACTTCAATAAAAATTTGTAAAAAAAATGGAAAAATTTAAATTATCTATGTTGAATGCGCTGAATATTAGACATCTTTCTCAGTTAGCTCACATCAAGGTTTCATCAAGGCTCTGTACCTTCTATAGACTCTAGGGAATAACCTATGCCCTTATATTTTGAACCTTTAAAGACCACCTGCATTCCTAATTCATGGCACCCTTTTCCAATTTGAACTATTAAGGAATGCATGCTCTAAAGGGATCCAGACGTTCCTACGCATAGTGGCAAAGAAAAGCATACTCGTAGCATAACAGCTATTTCATAGATTTAATTTGCATAGTGAGAGAAGAGAATAAGTAATATTCCTAATAATAGTTTCCCAGTTATTTCCCTTTCAAACCTGTGAAAGGAAAAAAATTGCAAAAAATAAAATTAAGTTGATGACTGCCATTGCCTTGGCCAAGGACAGTCTCCCCACTTGTCTCTTTCATGTGTGTCTCTTACTAGTCTCCAACAATTCTCTCTTCCAAGTCTCCTTCAAAGCAGGACCAGGGTGCAGGATGTGTCTGTGTAATGTAAGTCACTGAGTTCTGGCCTTAGTCACCAGTAGCTCCCCAACTGAGGTAGTTTTAGTTCATGGCATATAGGGGCTTTTAGTCCAAAGCAACTTCTTTCAAGTGAGAGAGAGGAAAATGGAACATTCTTACTGCATTTTAATGATCTTCTACCTTTTCTATTGATCCATTCTGTGGTAATTCTCTTCTTATCTTTGCCACCATTCCTATGGCAAAAGAAATTCTGGAGTGTGCCCTTAGGAGACATTGTTTTGCAAGTTTCCAATATAGTCAAACAATATAATAATCAGTAATGAGGTGATGATTCTCCTATGAAAATAATTTTCTCCCCTCATTCATCCAAATTATATTGAATATTATAGCAATATGCATTTATAAGTTAATCTTGTTCCAATTCATTTGACATATTTTTGCATAAAGTCACAAAGTGGAATAACCAAGCAGCAATTTCCTTGACTTTGCTCGAAGTTAAAGGCACACATTTGAATCCAACCCACAAATTTCATATGTTGCCATGAACCAAAATTATCCCAGACTATGCCTTCTGAACACACTTGTACTAGTTCACATTATATATCTAGACTCAACATTTTTAAAAGTGCTATCGATACCAATCAGCTAAAGGCCAGAAAAACTAGATACAAAGAGGAAGATATACAGATATATGATATATAGACACAGAGAACTTACTTATTCTTATTTTTAGCCTATGTGGAAAATACTATACAACTACAGTTTTTACTCACAGGTCCAGAAAAATTAAAAACATAAAAATCAAAGTTCTAAAAAAAATCAAAAATCGTGCCTTCCTTGTGGCCTACGGGTTAAATCTCAGTGATTCCACCTCAAAGGCCTGAGTTGGGTCCCCAGCCAGGGACCTCTACTGTCTTGCTGCTGCTCCCCTCAGCAGTATATTTCAGTAGATCTGCCTGTTCTGCTCCCCACTCTGTCACTGGAGAATCCTCTCACCACTGCAACTCTGGCCTACACCCAATTCTTCTATGCGAAAATAAATTTAGGGCCTCCCAGGTGGCGCAGTGGTTGAGCGCTGGGTTCTGAAGCTGCCCGCAGCCTCTGCAGCGTCGGTTCAATCCCGGCTGCACCCCGGACACCCGTGGAGGGTCCCACATGGCGCGCAGACCTCTCCTGCCGCCCGCTGCTCCCCTCAGCAGTATACTTCGGTCTTTCTGCCTGCTCTGCTCCCCGCTCTGGCTCTGGTGAATTCTCTCACTCTCCTGTGCTTCTGACTGTACCCAGTGCTTGTATAAATAAATAAATAAATAAATAAATCTATTAAAATAAATAAATAAAAATAAATTTAAAAAATCAAAACTTAAAAAGCCAAAATAAAGACCAAGTTATTTCTATGAAGTCAAAATCACACTAGTCATGTGGATCAAAAAGCCATTTTATATACCTTAGAAAGAAGAAAGGTTTGGTTAGAACAATTATGATGGAATACCAAGGGAGATTCATTGACTTATTCATCATCTCTGTCTTTCCATTGTTCAGTATTCTGAGGCAAGATCAGGACAACCAATATGGCCTCTGTGCCAATCTCCTTCAGGGAGGTACTTGACTCCTTGGTTTCTTGAGGCCTGGTGGTCAAGAATGCACCAGAACCTCCTGGTGGACACATTGAAGGACAAGTCATGGAGCAGGTTTGCAAAGCAGACTGCTGCTTAGTGAGCAGAACTCTTGCTTTTTATTAGAAGAAATGAACAAGAATGATTTATGTGACAATGGCAGGAGAAACAGGATCCAGGGGAAACAAAGGGTATTCAACTTTATGGGGAACAGAACTTCAAAGGGATCAAAGAGTTATCAATTTTTTTGGAGCAGGAGGAAACATATTGGCCACATATACAGGGAGGACTTCCCAAGCAGGTGCTTGGTGTAATTTCTGAGCTACTCCCAGACCATCTTGGGCTCTGACCACATACTCAGTCAACAGTTACCTAGGCATCACCGGCCACCTTGTGATGTGGGTCATTGTCTCAAGGCAGTCATGCAGGAGTGCCTTATCCAATTCTTTCACATGCAAATATGTGCATGGAGAGGCCATGCACACATAGGTGCAGAGGCCCTGGGTGGAAAAGAGGCTACATATACCTCCTTTTTTGTTTTATAGGGCAGAAGGGAAGATGGACGTGAAGGGCAATAGAAGAAGGGTCATCTGGTTAATCATCACTGACTGCCGTTGTTGTCTGCAGAAGTAAGCATCAGCATCCTATTATAAAGACAAGGAAAATAACAAAGAGGCATAAGATAATCTGAATAAGAGTATGAACAGTAAGACTAGACCTCCAGTTGTGGGATCCACCAAGGAAAAGAAGGTCAGGGGACCATCAATAGTTTGCTGTGATGTTTATTGCTGGATCTTACGATGTTGGAGAAGAAATCTGGTTTGCAGCTCTTGGACAGAAGTATGTAAAGGAGAACTACATGATTGAAGCAGGTCTTGTTTTGAGACTTACAAGAGTAAGAAGTGAAATTATCCGCAGTGATATTGGTGACACAAAATTGGTCATAACTGATGTCACATTGGAGGAGAGACTCCGCCCCTAAATCCTGCTGGTGTTCACCAAGCCATAGTAAGCAGACTCTAGGGTGACAAGCCTGGCAAGAATCTGTTGATCTATTGCAGGCCTGTACCAACAAATCTTCAGTGTTATTGATCGGAGAACCTCTTGTTTGAAGAGATTTAGCCAAAGTAGACACAGCCAAGGCTTCAGTAGCAGCAGAGAAAAGAGGAAAATAATTCCAGCAATCAAAGAGGTTAAAAGCAACAGACTGTATTACAGTGGACTAGAGCAGGAGAAGGGTCCCACTGAGGAGTTCCCTGGAATGCAGGAGAGGAGAACCAGAAATAGGTTTTTAGAGGTGCAGGGTACTCCCTGGTTGGCGAACAGATTTTCAACATTAGTGGTTAGATCTTTGATGTGCCCGCACTTGAGTTTTTCTGCTGGCATGATGAGCTGTTGTCCTTTTCAAGAAGGCTGGTCAATCTTACCGTTTTTGCTGGAGCCCTGAGTGGTCCTGTTGGTGACGGTGCAGAAACACAAACTCTCTTGCAGGTTAAAAGTTATACAAGTCCAGCTAGGTTGGTACTTACAAGGGGTGATAGACATATTCTGTCCATATTTGTTTTTATGGGGGCAGGTTACTCTCTAAACACCCCCCGTTTTTTTTTAAGTTGTGATTTTAAGGAGCTCATTGACTCTTTTAACTATAGTCTGTCCTGTAGCGTTACGAGGGATGCCAGTCATACACTTAAATTTTTTAAGATAGTAGGAAAGAATGAATGGCTTTTATATAGTTTTGGGGTCTATATTAGTATTTTTTTTTATAGCCTCAGCAAATCTAGTCTTAAATGATGAAGGGTATTATGGCTTTTGCTTAACTTTACTTAGTTTTTTTTATGATTAACTGGCCTTGTTAATGTCTTGAATGAGGCAAGTAATCAGATGGACACTGTTTTTAGGGGCTTGGAGTTGGTCATTTTACTGTGGTCAGTGTTAGGACTGTCTACCAGATTATATTAGGTTTTAAGAAGTCTTACGTATTTTGAAACATTTTATTAGTATATTATCAATATTAACTTAAATATTTTGTAATGTTGTTAAAATATATAAAATATTTAAATACATTTTATTTGTATTTGCAATGATTAAATAATTACTCCTTTTTTTAAGTTTTAGCTTGTAAGACATCGTAATAGCTGTTTTACTATCATACCTTTAGACTAGATGACTTATACATAAACACATGATTTAATTGTATTTTAGGTGAGATGACATTATATTGAATACCATGAACATTATTTTAAGTTAACACATTTACATATTTTTTAAAGATTTATTTATTTATACAAGAACTGGGATACAGTCAGAGGCATGGGAGGGTGAGAGAATTCACCAGAGACAGAGCGGGGAACAGAACAGGTAGATGGACAGAAGACACTGCTGAGGAGAGCAGCAGGCAAGGCAGGAGAAGTCTGCAATGCCGTGAGGGTTTCTCCCTGGCTGGTGGGGAATCAAACCCGCGCTGCAGAGACTGTGGACAGCTTCACAGCATGGCACTCAACCTGCTGCACGACCGGGGAGGCCCAGTAAACACATTTAAATACAGAATTAAAAGTATCAATATTAACATTATAACCTTAAGGCATGCATGTTTTAGATTAAACCTTTAAATTTTGAACTAGTTTTTGTTTATCAAAATTGTAGATGACAATCTCAAAATTTGGGTTTTTAAATTAGAAATTATATAGGCACCATTATAATTAACCCTCAGAGATAAAAGGCAATGACAGACACCGAGATCTCTTGCTTTTTATTTAAAATTTTGGCCATGTGTATTAGTTTTTTTAAGATTTATTTATTTATAAAAGGACCAGGGTACAGGCCAGAGGCACTGAAGGGTGAGAAAATTTACCAGAGACTGAGTGGGGAGAAGAATAGGCAGACAACCAAAAACACTGGTGAGGGGAGCAGCGGTTGAGACAGGAGAGGTCTGCCACACCATGTGGGTATCTCCCTGGCTGCCTGGGAATCAAACCCATGCTGCAGAGGCTGTGGACAGCTTCACAGCACTGCCCTCAACCCGCTGCACCACCGGGGAGACCCATGTATACTAATTTTAAGTAGTTATTTTATTTGTGAAGACAATGTGAAACCTTGATCAAATTTTAGCTATTTAGTAACTTTTTTAGGTAAAACAAGCCTTATTTTTAAAGAGTGACCTTTTTAGCTTGAACTTAGGTTTTTGTTTATGTTTGACACATGTATTTAACTTTTTTTTTAATTATTATTTTTTTTAATTTTTTACATCATGTTCATTTGCTTCCCCCACCCCCTCAGGTGTAGTCCCCATAGAGTTTCCTTCACCAGTGCACCCATGTACCATCACCTCAGTCCCCTGTGCTCCTCCCTCCCTCCCTCTGATCCCTCTCCCACCTCCTCCACCACTGCAGTATGTCTCTGATTTATAATGGCCTGCTTTTGCTTTGTTGTGTTTTGTACTGTTGTTATATTTTTACACTGATGTCTTATTTGGTTCCCCTATATTTCTACTATAAGTGAAACCATCCAATATTTTTCTTTTTTCCTTCTGGCTTATTTCACTGAGCATAATTCCTTCTAGGTCCATCCATATTGCTGTGAATGGCATGAGTTTATCCTTTTTGATTGCTGAATAATATTCCATTGTCTAATATGCCACATCTTTTTGATCCAGTCATCTATTTTTGGGCATTTGGTTTATTTCCAGGTTTTACCTATTGTAAATAGTGCTACAATAAACACAGGGGTACAGGTGTTCTTTTGAATCAATGTTTTTGTATCCTTTGGGTAGATCCCTAGTAGTGGAATTGCCGGGTTGTATCGTAGCTTCATTTTTAATAGACTGAGGAAACTCCAGACAGCTTTCTGAAAGGAGGTATCATACATCCAAACTTCAAGCTATACTACAAAGACATGATAATTAAAACAATTTGGTACTGGAACAAAAACACACACACAGACTAATGAAACCAAATAGAGAGCCCAGAAATAAAACCCCATTTTTATTGACAACTGATCTTTGACAAAGGAGCAAAGACTATACAATGGAACATGGGCAGTTTGTTCAATCAATGGTGCTGGGAAAACTGGACCACCACGTGCAAAAAATGAAACTAGACCACTACCTTTCACCATGCGCACCAATCAACTCAAAATGGATAAAAGAACTGGACATAATACCTGAAACCATAAAATATACAGAAGAAAATATAGGTAAAACACTACAAGACATACATCGCAATAACATCTTTAAAGACTCATCACCCAAAGCAAAGAAAGTCAAGGAGAAGATAAACACCTGGGATTACATCAAACTGAAAAGCTTCTGCACAGCAAAAGAGACATTTACCAAAACAGAGAGACACCCCACTGATTGGGAAAAAATCCTTAGAATCCAGTCAACTTGTTAGGGGGAAAAGGATGTCCTAACGCTAATTCCATACAGGCTTTGTGGACTGATAAGGGACTGTTCACAAAGATATACAAAGGACTCAACAGGACTCAACAAAAACAAAATAAATAAATATTCCAGTCAAAAAATGGGCAGAAAAACTTAAAAGACTTTTCTCCAAAGAGGAAATGCAAATGGTCAACAAGCATATGAAAAAAAAAAAAATTAACTATGCTTTTAACGTTAGTTTATGTCATAGAGGTTTGTAATAAGATCGAAACTAACATTGTTATGTACAATGAGTATTAAATACTAACCACTACCAAAGACCAAGGGCTCAAGATTACAACGATTTTAAAGTCAAGCAGTTTATCTTAAACTGTCTAGGTTAAAGATTAGGAAAACACAAGGAAATATAATTTTTGACCTACAGAATGGACCAGAAATATTTGTAAAGGTGGATAAAAGGAGAGTCCAGTTTGTTTTTTTTTTTTTTTTTCCCAAGATTTATTTATTTTATTTATACAAGCACTGGGTACAGTCAGAAGCGCGGGAGGGTGAAATAATTCACCAGAGCCAGAGCGGGGAGCAGAGCAGGCAGAAGTGTTATAGGACAGGGAGCGGGGCAGCCCAAGCCCCGCAAACCTGCCTATTCTAAATGGGTTCTGCCATCCGCCGCATCAACACAAAACATAGGAGACTTTAATGGGAAGGAACTTTAATTAAACTAGGAAACAATACAGGTAAGGCAAAGAGTCTAGTTTCTAAATGAAGCACCCAAAATTACCCATCCCCTCGTGGGTAAAAGTCCATCCATATGGGATCGGCCCAGAACAAGGCCCCAAAGTCTACCACAAGTCTAAAACATCTTCCAGTGGGGACCCACAGAAAAGGGTCACAAACAACTGGACAAGCCCGGAAGGAAAAGAGCAAAATCAACATCAAGATAAAAGCTGCCATTGTCACCTCCCCACGGGTCTCACCCACATCTGTGTCACCCAGTCCACGACCAAAAGACAAGCACAGTTTCTTCACGTGTCTCTAGGCTCCATGTACCTCCTCCAGGTCTCCTGGCTCCATCCTGCTTCCTTCCTCAGTCTCTTCTGCAGCTTCTCCTCTTCCTGCTCAGCTCCACCCTCCCTTGGGTGGGGCAGGGAACCTCCCCCTTTCCTGGGGACCACCCTGTTGCAATCCCCCCTATTAATTTTATTCCACCATATCTATGGTGGCACAATCTCTGGGTGTAGTCTTAGGAGACAGTGTTTTTTTTCAGGGTTACAATGTGTGTAAGAGAAGCAACAATTAGTCAGCAGCATTGTCCATGAATGTCCAGTATGACAGTTTCATTACTTAAAAATAGTCCATTATCCAAGCCAAAAGAAAAAAAAATCTGGAGAATTGGCTAAAACAAGATAGCAAATATATCAAAATCACAGGGAAAAAAATGTTAAAATGGTTCAACTGATGTAAAACACAAATTTTCTCAACCTTGATCCCAAACTTTTAACAGCATAGCAAAAGTTTGCAAACTAAATCTACTTTTAAACCATTTTTCCT